CAATGTGCGACCACAAAATCAAAACCAACAGAATATACATCGTCTTGTCAAGTATTAATATTTAAAACAAATGAAATTTCTTTTTTTTTTTTACAATTAATCTTTTCAATTAGAGTGATGTTCATTGTCCGCCAGGTTTCCGATGTCTTAATGATGCACGTAATGTGCCTATGTGCCAAGCAGGTATCATACATTGTCCAATTTCTTTAAATATTCTATGTTAATTGTGTGCATGACTAGGTTTTTAGTCTCCCTATATGTTTGTTTAACGCATCAGTACTTTTTCTCTTCTGTCCTTTTACATCATCATGTCTACATGAGAAAAAAAATGTTATCTAAGAAAAAAAAAAATCTTCGAGGATGGATCACGCCGAAAAAAAGGAACCAATAATCGGGCAACTAGAAGAGAATAAAGAAATAATCTATTTGTTTTAGTGACTACAAATCAAGTAATATGATAATATATCGAATTATTAATGCAAAATGAGTCGTGCACAATATATTTTGCACAACAAAATAATACTACTAATGAGAATATACCTTGTTCGTTGAGTAATTTCTTTCCCTTACATAATTGCGGCGGAGGAGGAGCAAACTCGACATTTTTCTTCCTATAAAAATAATTCTGTTTCGAGAACGACAAAAAAAAAAGGCTGACTGAGCGATGTGTAGTGTCTTTATACGATGATATAAGTCGGGCTGAATAAAAGCAAAAAAAAAAATAGAAAAAAAAAAGAACGAAGGCGAACTAACGCTGACTCGTCCGTTATATATATTTTTTTTTTGCTTTGCATTTCTTCTATCATTGCGTGTTGAGTTGACACATCCGATTGATTCGTCACTTTTTCATTTATCGTCAATAACAACAACAAGCAGTTTTTGCGTTTCTTTTTTTCCTTTTCCCAAGGAGAAATTACTGACTTTGTCATAAATCCTTGAAGACTATTACAAATTTTTTACATGCTTAAATTCGTAAGCCTTATTTTGACGAGCTTATTGCTCTGTTATAATATAAATCAGGTTTCGACAGTTTCACAACGAGAAATAGGTTTGAAATCTAAAGATATTTCTTCTTATCTATATTTATTTTGTTTTTTTTCAATTATATCTATTTAGTCTCTGACCCTTCTAATGCACCATCATCACCAACAAAAGAATGTCCACTATATAAATGTGTAGCTGATTGTGGAGAAGCAGGTTATGTATTTGATGAAAATGGTTGTCGAACATGTAAATGTGCATCAAAAACTGATAAAGATGCTGTGTTAAAACCATACGTTGAATGTTCACGTGTAATGTGTCGTATGTATTGTGTTCATGGTTTTAGTCGTAATGAAAATGGATGCGAAATTTGTAAATGTAATGATTCTCCACAGCCATGCCCTCGATACAAGTGTGAAAAAACATGTTCAAATGGTTATCGAAAAGATTATAGTGGTAAGATATTTTGAAAAAAAAAATAGTTCTTATATTTATTTCCGTTGATTATAAATTTTTTTTTTCAAGGTTGTCAAACATGTCAATGTGAATGTCCACCATTCAATTGTACAAAAACTTGTACAAAAGGTGTTAAAAAAGATGAAAATGGTTGTCCAATGTGTTCATGTGTAGATGATGAAACAAAACCAACAATTGATGATGGCTGTTCACCAATGAAATGTAATTTAGATTGTAAATATGGTTTTGAACGTGATCGATCTGGTTGTCAAATATGTTCATGTAATCGTTGCCCATTACATATGTGTCGAATGTTCTGTATGTATGGTTTTAAAAAAAATAGTGATGGATGTGATGTATGTGAATGTGATTGGTCACCTGTTTCAGAAAATATTCAATGTAGTACGGTAAAGAAAAAACAAAGAAGAAATTAAAATATATTTTATTATTATTATTATTTTATAATAGAGAATTCCATGTACGGGTAATCGTGTATGTAATTTAAATTTGAAATTATGTGAATTAGTAAGTGCGGATAAAGTGAACTGGTTTGTTTACGATTTTGATATTGAAACTGAATTTTTCAATGATCCAAAATTTGTTAATGCGTTTAAAAAGTAAAGTAGAATTGAAAAATCTTTTTTTTTTCGGAATTATATAGAATATTTAATTTTGTTTTGTTATTTAGTGGTTTAATTAATAATATTGCAATGAAATATAATTTGGAACCAACACAAATAACTGTATCATCAGTTGAACATAATGGTATGACATCATTTCAAATAATGCCATTTTATGTTGAAGATATGGATGATTTTCAAAAGAAAATGGATCAAATCGATATTGATGTAGGATTTAATTAAATAAATATTTATTTATTGAAATATTTATTTTTTTGTTGTTTTAGTTAAATTCACATGAATTTCGTGCAGTTTTACCAGCTGTTGCACGTGCAATAGGAAAAGATACGAATCATACACACGATTCAAAATGGAATCATTATGTTAAAAAGAATCCACTTTTTACATTGTATGTCGCTGGTGTTTTACTTGGACTTGTTGCAATTATTATTGCTGTCGTATTTATTCTTGTAAGTTTGACATTATTTTTCTATGTTTAAATCTCACTTTCTTTTTTGTTTCAAATGAAAATTAGTTATTCCGTCAACGTGTCAAGTATCCCGGTCGTTCAGAAGTAAGTTCAAATTTTTTTATGTCTTTTTTATTGCATCAAATAATTGTTTATGTTTTTAGTCTAAAACACCTATATATGATACATCGTATCATCCAGCACCAACAGACGATGATCTGTATCATGCTGTGCATGCACCAGATGGTACAGCATATGTTGTCGTTGAAAGTGAAGATATTCAAGCAACCAACGATAAACGAGCGCTTGTTTAAATACAAAATAAACATTGGATTTATTTTTTATTTCGACTTAATATATATTGAATCTTATTTTCTTTTTCTTTTTCTTCATTCACCGTCATACTTATTCTTCATCAGCTTCTTTTTTCTTTTTTTTTTCTAACTTTTATTATTACGGTGACGTTGTCATTCAGTTTCGTCTTAATGTCGTTAATTAATTGAAAATTATTTCTATTTGTTTTGTACTGTACAGAGGTTCTTTTATTGTCTGCTCATGTTGTCGTAATTGAAACATATATGTATGTTCAATTCTTTTTTTTGTATGTTGATAGTGTGCGCCTAGTAGAAAACAAATAGACAGTATTTATGTATTGTGTTTTGTCATTGTCTCATAGAAGTATATCTGATGAGTACTCTCTATTCTTACAATATCTTCGTCGGAAAGGAGATTATTTCGGCTTAATAGACTTACAGATACTTACAGTAGCTGTCAAAAATATTCAACCACCCCCACTACGTCAAATTTATATTAAAATTAATTGATATAATGAGAGTGGTATAATAATTCTGACATCTACTGTATATATTGGGAAATTGAAGAAAAAGAAAAACAACATTGTTAACAAGACGACTGGATGTGTAGTGACGAAGCGCCTTAGTGAATATTAAAGAACTTGCTAGAACATTCTATAAGTCAACTAAAAAGTCACGATGTTTTGTGATATTTACAATTAATTAATTGATAATCGCGACTGTTTTAGAATTATCATTTCCAAATTGAGAAAATCAATATTTAATGAAAATTATGTGAAATCAACAAATACAAGAAGGGTTTTCGTACAAACTAGATGGTACCTAAGATAAGTCGGTGATGTCAAACACAACTAACAGACAAGACTCATTGTAAAAATTTTGAATCAGCCGAAATGTCAAGTTTAGTGAAATATACAGGATAAATCAGTTATGCGAAAACAAATCGAATTTGCAATCATTGAAAACCAATAGATATTTTACCAAAAACTTCTGAACTTTACAGTATTCTGATGCACCAGAGTTCTTGACAAAGTTTTCATTGATTTCGTTAGCTCAAAGCTATTCTAATTCTTTATTAATAAGAGAAATAGAATATAGATGCCATGCAAGGCCTTAAATACAATAAAAAATTTCGAAAGATGGCAGGAACATGCTATGTAATAAATGCTCATTGTTGCTTCTGCAACTTGTTTTGTTTTTATTATCTGGAAGAAAACAGATTTTTCATTTGCAAATTGTCATTTTGTGGAGACCATTGAGAACAAACGGAACTTCGTAATAACGCCTCAACGAAACTCATATGATTCCTCGATATTTTGTGTATTGTGACAGAAACATATTGAGAAAAAAACTTACAATCGACTACTATAATGAAAAAAGAAATAGTCAGACACATTAACAATAAGTATTATATCATGTCTAAAATTGAAAAATAGTCGTAGACAATAATCTATGTGAAGTGCTCAGGACATACTGCTCAAAACTTCATTATGATGTTTGAATGTCTCATAAAAATTACTCTTTGTTTGTCTCTCGTTAACTTTCATTGCTGCTAATTATTATAGTGCAAAGCGTCATAAAAATTAGTCATAACATCGAATCATGTTTTCTTTGCCTACTAAATCTTCTTCAATCTTGTATTTCATATTTTTTTTATAAAAATAAATTGAATGTAAAAAAAGTCGTATTCTTATTTCTCAAATAAAAATATTGTTATAAAATTTCACAATTCTGTATGACTAAGTCTTGTTTTTTTATATGAAATAAAATGAAAATTAGATAGAAATTTAATACTAAATTTAGCCTTGACAATACTTGTATATGAATAATAGTATTATTTAAATTTCATTTATTCGAAACTCTATAATCGATGAAAAAGAATTAAATAGGATTTGAATTCAAATACTAAATCTAATATGTTATGAAAACAAAAACATATCGTTTTTCATTTCAATTATTTATTAATAAATATATATGAAAAGTCTGAAGGTTTGCTTTTTTTCGTTTCTTCTTATCTTTTGCTCATCATATAGTTATTCATATTACAATGACATTCATAATGACTGAAGGAGGTGTGATTTGTGTTGGTACCTTTGGTACAGAGTATGTTGTTGTTGTTGATAGATGACCATCATAAAATTCTCTGGCAAATATATATCATCAAACAAAAACAGGTGGTGGTGATCCATTTAATATCATTAAAGATTTACGTTCAATGGATAAAAATATATCATTATCAATCATTGGCTTATTAAGTAATGATGATGACGATGATCGATGATTAATAAATGATTGCAAAAACTCGAATATTGATACTGATAAATTGCAGATAATAGATGATAATACACCAATATCATATACATATATAATAAGTATTGAATCCAAATGGTCGGCGAACATATTTTTAATCAACGTAGTACTAATTCATTACTTAGTGATAGACATTTTGACTTTAATTATTTAGCTAAAGAAAGACATTGTACGTTATTTTATCTCGATTATTTAACATTACTCGATGAATTAGATCAAATTGTTAATAATGAAATTATCGAAGCACAAGTACTAAAAATGTTAAACAATTTGATTTAGAAACAATTTTTGATTGTGTTAGTGTAAATAATCTATTATATTCTCAAATAGTTCAATTAACATTACCATATGTTGATTGTTTAATTTTAAATGAAATTGAAATAGGTCTTCTACTTAAGCAAACATTTCAACAAGGTACTATTTCATAAATTGAACAAGCAGCAAAAAACATTAATTGAAAATTATGGTGTACAACGTATAGTAACAGTTCATTTTGATCATAGTGCTGTTTGTGTTAGTCGAGAAAATAATTCAAGTATCGAATGGTTTTTTCAAAGATCACTTTATCTTTTACAGGAATATATTAAAAGTACAGTAAGCGCTGGGAATGCATTTGGTGCTAGTATTATTTATGGGGTTTATAAAAATTGGTCAATTGAAGAACGATTGCGCTGTGCTGTGCGAAGCTGCTATGTGTTTAAGAGATCTATCAGCAAATGGTTATGTAGGGACAATTGAAGAATATTTGCAACTAAAAGAAACATTTCCTTTTCGAACATTGAAACCAACATCTTATGTACATGATATCGGAACTGAAATAATAATATTCGCTTTTTTTTATCGATTGAGTGATTAGCATTGAAGAAATTTTTTCTAGATTTGTTTATTGAAAAAGAAGATCATAGGTTTAGATAGTGTGTATTTTGTTGAATAAATAATCGAAATCAACAAGTTAAGCGAAAAAGTTTTTATTTAGGATGTATTATTTACTAGATTGTCATTTGTTAGTAATGCAAACTTTTGATGACATTCATGGTCTGTTCTTGCTTAAATGAAATCATCGTTAACATTTTGTATTTGACATCTGGAAACCGGTATATACATATATATCTGATATTGTCTTTTCATATATTTATTAGAATTCTATCTCTTTTAATATATGTGCAAACTATTTAGCCCATCTGTTTAAATGACACTGATTAGGAAAGTTGAAGCTAGTTTCTAGAATGTTGATATTTTCTTTTTCAATTAAGTAAATCATTTTTGATCTTGAGATAAGTTGAATAGAATAAAAAACTAGAAATAAGAAATGTCTGTACAAGTTGTTTCTTGTTTAGTTATTTTTAACTATTTTGCCTTCGGATACTAATTCAAGTAGAGTAATAGGTCATGCAGTTGGAAATTAGAAGAGTGATATGGTTAGATTTTGACGAAGTCATTTTTATTGTGACGATACACAATGGACCATAAACGATTCATTCGTTGGGAATGACATGAAAATTGAATTTATCGTTAATTTGAGTTGCTTTTTCATAGTTATCTTATTATTTTATGTAGATAAAGCTGGAAATCTACTTATCATGAGTTATTTTTCGAAAAGTGAATTACTTCGGAGTATGATGTATGATTAGACATTAGCAAAGGCGGCTATTTTCGGATTGAAATCGGCTCTTTCATGTTCTAGATCATGTCTTGATTTTCTTTCTATAATATAGAATCATTAGTTCTGATTCGAAATTACTCATGACTATGGTTAAGGTCTCGTTCAGCTGGAAGACCATAATAAAAACTGCAGGTTTCTATCTTTTATCAATAAGAATTTAGTTAAAGAATAGCCGTTAAATGCTTTTTTTTTGATTGACTATTAGATCTAACAAAAGTTTTTAACATGAAGATCGTGTTATACATGAATTTATATCGAAATTAAAATAATTCTAGAAAAATATATTGCTCATATTACTCACTACAAATAGTTCAAAAAATGCCTCAGGTTGTCATAAAAAATGCTATGTTCATATCTGTAATCAAGAGTTTTTAAGAAGCTATTCTACAGATAGATTATGCTTGTTGTAATATATATCAATCTAACTAGTATCAGATGATCAGTTTTGAGAAAAACACCGATTTCCTACTCATAAACAAATTTGTAGCTTATTGAAAGTTTTAATCAATATTCAAGAAACGTCTCAATCTAGTGCTTATTTACTCGAAATAGATAGCTTTTTTATGAATAAGACAAAAATGATTCAACAGGAGTGTCAAGGATTAAGATAAATTTATATAGATTCTTGAATATATGTTAATAATTAAATAATGAATGAAAAAGGAAAATATATGGAAGACGTATATGTGTTACATACAGAAGTTCAAAATTTCGTTCAAAAGTTCAATGAGTTATGATACATACGAAAGTATGGATCAACACAAACTGCAACGTGACAAATTGTAAATTCGTGTCTCTATTGACGTTTCATTCGATTAATATTACTTTTTGTATGACCTACAAACAAAACATTGTCCTATTAGAAGCTGCGTGGTTTCAGTTAGAAAGATCAAACATAAAAAATGCCGGGAAATTAACTGTGCTAGTATAAGTTCATATGACAGTGTTCTTCTTCTAAATAGCTAATATGAAACATCAGAACCGCTAGAGAGAGACTCCATTAAGTGCAGAATGCTGGAGTACCACGTATAGCATACCAGGACAACAGAGTTGAGGCATTATAGTCTTCATCATTTCCATAAAAATTATTCGGACGGGTATAGTCGTCAGTAATTGTTGAAGTGGCTAAACAATTTTATGATTATATGATTATTTTTTTTTTTGTTATACTATAGAATGTAGTTTTTTTTTGTTTCATGATCATCTATTATTATTATTTCATTTTCTTTTCCTACACTTTTCTATATATGCTAGAGTTTTATAAAATGTATGATTATTTTCAGTGATAATGACCGTACATAATAAAAAAAAAACTCGAAAATTTTAAATTTGTAGAATTAAAATTCATATTGCGTAAAAATAATAATAATTTTTGAATCGAAGATGAACTTATTCATTGCATATCAATATTGATAACTTCTAAATAATTTTAAATAAATCAATGATTTAATTACAGTTAACAATTGTATTTATTATAACTTGAGTACATGTAGACGAGAACGCTTGTAATACTCATTATCAAGGTTATTTTTGAAATAAATGAGTTGAAATAGATTCTTGTTTTTGTTTTTTTATTTACCGTCGTTTTACATCTCAGATTATTATATCTAAGTAAGGAAAAAAATTGTATTCACAAACATGCAATCCGGAGCAAATGTTCTGTTTATTGTTCAGAAAAATTCTACGTGGGTTTTCGTCAAGAAGATTAAACAAAATTTCATGAGTCTGTTTTTGAAAATAAGGAGACCATGTAAACTTCAAATTCAAGTCGGTTGTTTTATTTGTCTTATGAATAATATGTGTAAAAAACAGTAATATGTTTTTGTTTTGTGTCGTCAGGCATTTTCAATCTAGTAATGGGATAATTTGAGTTACCACATATTTTTAGAAAAGAGAACCAAAACGAAATATTATGATTCTTATTTTTGTTTCTTGTTGTCTATCATATTTTGAATAACATTTTAACATTCTGTATTTTTCTTTGACAAAAACCAAAAAGGTAGACATAACATACATTCAACAGAAACAAAAAAAGAATCAAAAGAATTATTGCTAAGTAAATTAATGCATGTATTTATATGAACAAGATATGTCAGATTGCTAGAATATTTTATCCTGTACGAACGAAAGAATGGGATTTATAATAAATTAGAAATCTAAAACTTTCAAGATTCAATTTTCTACATTGATTTTAGACAATAGTATTTCTATTCAAACAAAAGCAACGCAAAGAAGTAGATGGAAAAGAACCGAATTTTTTTCTTGAGTGTTCTTTGTATGCATTTGGTATGTACCGTTGTCAAGAAGAAAATGAGTTGCTCATTCGTTTCTTATGTAAACCGAAGCAATTCAACATCTTTTAAGCAAATAAACAATATTCCAATGGCAAGAAACGAGCTTGCACTGTGTCCTTTTTTTTCTCTTTTTCTTTCTCTCTTGTATTGTCTTCACAACACAATATGTCGTCAACACCAGCTTCTTCGGCTGCAGCAGCACCAACACCCCGCGTTCAATCAGCGAGTAACAAACCAAAAGAAGACTCATCTAAAGACGGTAACAATGCTACTACAACCGTACAATCATCATCTCGTCCACCATCGGCAATTAAACAACCAGCAACAGCAACCACTAATGAAACTCGACCTGGATCAGCAGCAAAAAATTCATCACAAGATACTACTAATCGACCAGCATCCGCTGTAAAAGTTGATTCTACTGTTACACCAGCTCTTGATGCAACAACTGCAAGGCCACCATCAGCTAGCCAAAAACAGGATGGAACAACAACAAACAATACTACAATTGCTCCGCCAGGCTCAAGACCACCATCAGCGGCTAAAAAAACAGAAGATACAGTTGCAAACACTACTACTAGTGTTCAACCAGGCTCAAGACAACCATCAGCGGTTAAAAAACCAGAAGATACAACCACAAACACTGCTGCTACTGCTACACCAAGCTCAAGACCACCATCGGCGACTAATGCTGCTACTGCTCCACCAGGCTCAAGACCACCATCGGCTAATCGAAAACAAGAAGGAGCAGCTGAAAACATTAGCACTGTCGGACAACCGGATACATCGGCTCCAATTGATCCAAATGATCCTAATATAACAAAACCAATTATAGGACGACCGCCATTAGCAGCCAAAAACGAAACTAGCGAAGAATCTAGTGCTACTGCTACTCTTGCTGCTTCAATTCCACTTAATATTTTACCAGAAGGTACACCACCATCTGACAATACCAATCCAGTTTCGGCTCCCGCTGCACAAGCTTCTGCTCCAGCACGTACTGGTTCGGCATCGAGCAAGCCGCCAACATAAACTTTTATTGGAAACAATTTTTCATTTATTTAGTTATAAAATGAACTTTATTCTTTTGCGCGTCTATATTTTTCTTCATAAAACTTTTTTTTTTTAATAAACCAAAATATATTTTAAAAAAATTTCTTTTCTTTTAATGAATAATCCAGTATTATTTTTTCTTTTTGGTTTCTTACTTATATCTTCTCTTGCTGCTATTATCTATATAGTATTCGTTATAACAGGCAAATCATCTACACAAACACAGACACTTGATATTACTGAAGATCTTCAACGAATTGATACAAGAGATCCATTAGCACCAAGATTTTCCGACAAATTTATTATACATTCTTCTATTTCATAAACAATCTTATTTTTTTCCCATTATATTATTATAATATTTATATATAAAGAATGGGTATTCCTTTAAATAGAAAGTCAAATATAATCATCGGACAACAACATACACACTTTGTTTTTAATTTCGCCATTTTGCATTCTAGAAAAAGAAAAAGAAAGTGAATTAATTTATTGATAAAATCTAGTTTCTTGTTGTTTTATTATCTACTTCTAATAATGACGTAGCTCGGTTAAATGATGGATGATCACGTGGTATACGTTTACGTAAATTTTCAAATCGTATTCGATCATGAAGAACAAAAGCAATAGTCTTTGAAAGACAAATATGGAGGAAAAAACAATTTTTAATCGTCTGAAATCATACACTTACATCCATAGCAACATCATAATTTTGAAATTTTTCTGCATAATAAATTCGTCGTTCTGGATTTTGTATCATATTAAGAAACTTTTCTGCTTTTTCACTTGCTTTTTCTTGTCCTTCACCACTTAATCTTACCCAATTATAAACCATATCAGCAAAATTTTCTGGCGGTATGATAAATTTCTTACTAAAAATGCTCTTTAAAAGGAAGAAAAACTTTTTTTTTTTCGTTTTTTAGAATATTAAAACAAACACCTGATGCATTGCATAATGAATAAAATCTTCATAATGCATTCGTAAACCACAGTGCATTATTACAGATAGTTTACCACATAAGATCATTTCTGGACACATCTTTTAAATAAAATTAACAAAAAAATTTTCAATGTTAATGAAATAAATAATTTTACATGAAAAGCTTTTTCGAATTCTTTACTATGTTCGACAGTCTAAAAAATAGAACACAAAATAATAGTATCTCAAATTATGTTAGAATTACATTTTTATCTGTATCTCGATTAAATTTTTGTCGTCGGAAGTCTATATCAAATAATGATTTATATGTGTCAAGTACAGTTTGATTTTCAAGATTAATATTTGATTGTGAAGATGAAATAGACTAATTCAAAAAACAAAACATCATTTCAATCACTTACAAATAATTTTTTAATTTACCCTTTGTAACTCTTGTTGTTTTTTAAGCAAATATTGATGTTCAACAATTTGTAAATTCCACCAAGGATGTGAATTCATTTCACTAAATTCAATAAAAATTAACTATGACAAACACATATACTTATAAGTAACGAATATACATTGCTGCTTGATCTAATAAAGCAATTTTACTATTTATATCATTAGCTTCACTTGCTTGTCGCATACGTATCATCTTAAACAATTAAATGATTTACTTTTAATTCATGCATTTGTTTTTTTGTTGTACTTACAGCGACTTCTTCATTTTTACCAAATTGTCTTTGAAAAAAAAAAACAACAGCAAACTGATTAATTAAAGAAACGACATATTAAATAAAGTTACTTAAGCATTGATGTATAATAATGATTTTCAACTCGTAATTTAGCCATATTAAGAAAATTTTTAACTGCTGATGAATGTTGTTTGATTAGTTCGTAAAATAAAGGTTTTGATAATGTATTTTCAAGAAATATTATTACCTATAAAATAGAAAGATAACTTTCAACGACATCTGATGATGATATAAAGCTCTGATTTTCGTCTATTTCAAAAAATGATGAGGCAATTCCACTAACTAATAACTCGTTTCTATGCACATGATTTAGACCCTAATGTGCAATAAATACTCTAAAAAGAGTTCGTGGTTTTAGCTTATTCTTGCGGAAATATTGCACTTTTATGATATTTTTTCAATGAATATCGAATATCACAAGTTTAATTACAAAAATATAAAGCAGAAATAATATATAAGTAATATTATGAGATACTAATATGCAAAGTTTTCAAAAGTTGTTGTTTTTTTTAGAGAAATTCAACACAGAGATGTAACCTGTCTGAAATTGCAAAGTTTCAATGCATATCCTTCATAAGATACTAAGAGCAAAAACAAAAGATTAAGACACATCAGTAACGATCAGTTAATTTGAAATCCGTACAATTACCGATTGTTTTGTTAATCTAAAACTCTAGCGAATAGACCTAAACAGATTGTTGTTTATTGGTGAAAGTTAAATGAATTGAAGTCATCGAATATTCTTTATTATTCAATTATATAGCAACACGTGTGATATGTTCTCATAAAGAGTCAATGCAAACAAGTTCTTTAGATGAGACTCTCAAGTCTTCGACAGTTAAAAACTCGATTCTAGTATCTTAAATGCAACATTGATATTAAAAAATTGAATTAAAAAAATGAAATAAAGAAGAATCTTGGAATTAAACTTCTTAGGTTATGAATATAATACTATAGAATTTATTAAATCGACATTTAATTACCGGTACAGTAACTTTTGGTGTATTAAATGAAACAGCAATACGTAATAACGATACTTTTTTATCATAATCTCGACAATCATATAAATTAACGCTCTAAAATTAAAAAAAGAATCTTTTGTGCAAAATATTGAATGAAGTTTTCTTTATAATCTACTCTATTTTCCATTAATTCTCTGCAAAGTATTTGCATTTCTTGATCATATCTTGTAGTTCGATCTTTGATAATTGGATTAACTAAAATAAATTCAATTGCTAATAGTGAATAGCTAGTAGAAATATATTACCATGATGTCCTGTATTTGTTTGCCATTGAGCATGAGAATTTTGATCAGTTAATACAGCGGCAGAACGTGAGCGACTCATTTGATTACCTAAAAAATTTGAATTGAACCTTTAATTAATTTTAAAATAAAAAATAGTACTATGTTGATGATGAGACATTGCTGGTGGAGGTTTCGTATCAGGAAAAGAAACAGATTTTATTGACATATCATCTTGGTCATCGTTATATGATGCTTTTCCCGCATGACGACTTGAGGATAAACTATTTAATGATAATTGCGAACCATAAGATGAATTTGAACTTGGATTAACAACAAGACTTTTTTCTAATTTTCCAGCTAATTTATCAAATATATTACGATGGGCTTTTTTCATTGGTTTTGGAGTTTCACTAGCCATTATTGTCTTAAGATATTTTTCTCTAAGATATATAGAGGATAAATATAAGTGTCTCCTTGTTTTTTTTCTCAATCCGTCAATATGAATGAATGCATGATTAGACACAATAAAACGTCAGATGTTACGTTTTTTCTTTCGTATTCTGTTGCTTGTCAAAAAAGTGCAAGAAAAAAAACTATGAGTGAGTATCGTAAATAGACTCGGTTTGCATATCATTATATACCTTCTTCGTTCTTACATTCAGTAAGCTGATCGAAAATGCAGGAAACTTTTCTTTTTTCATAGCATAACTTTAAACAGAGTGCTTCACGTGGTTTTTATTGTTATCAATGAATTATTTGTTTTTGTTGTTATCGAAGAATGATAAGGATTTCACGTTACTTTAACTTTAATATATTATTTAACGGGTATTCCAAGACTTGCACTGGAGTCTATTTCGAAATCATGTCACAGTCAATTAAAGATGTCACTACTAAATCCAATTTAACACAAGAAGTTTTTTTTTCCTTTTTAATTTACCGTCAGCAGGTGCTATATTTGGATCCATTAAATGATAGTATTCATATCCTCCAATATTAGCATTAGTTAATGTAATATTACTTTTCCTCATCTATGATGATATCAGAATTACAAGAAATCATTTTGTATAACTTACCACAATTTTTTTCTAGATCTTTTTCTTGAGCTTCATTATTCATTTTTGTAACTTTTTTACGTGTCGTCAGATGAATAGATCTGGTGACTGAATCTTTTCATTTCTGGTCAGGACCAAACAGAGCTGACAAACTGATACTACCATCGGATTCTCACAGGAAATTCACATATTCAGGCATCGAAGTCATCGACCTGGATCCTGATAACGACTAATGTGCTTCGATGTAAATTATGACTAACAGTTGATTGATTAACATTAACTCGTTTAGCTAGTTTACGTTGATTGATACCACAACGATTGTTAACAGAGTTCACTACGTGTTTTAATTGTTTATTGGAAATTTTTAATGAAAAGCGAGTCGTTGGTTAAAATTTTGTTCGTCCATATTTTAAATACGCATTTAATATGTTATAAATCGTTCTTTTCTGAACACTTTGTTTTATAGAATAATTAACTGCCGTTTAAAAGATTTATCTGATGCATCAATATAAAAATTACAAATTCGTTGAGCAATCTCTTCCCTTTGTTCTCGTATTATTTCGTTTATGAACGTGCAACAAAAAAAAACTCTTCGAAAGAGGAGAAAATTTCCTACCAATGACTGAAAAAATTTTCGTTTCAGGAGCGTGTTCATAGAAAAATATAAAGAGACTGACATGTTGTGCCATTGCTTTTGCATCGTATGTTATTTCATACATATATGTTATTATTTATTAGTCATTAAAATAAAACTTTTTATTCATGTTTTTGATATGTGTAATAGCTTACAGCTTTTTCAAATAATAACTCATTGAAAATTTGAATAAAATCAATAACCAACTACAAATGTGCATAGCAATAGTAATAAACGAATATTTTATCGTGCACATAATAAATATTCGACGGTTCGGATAGATAAGCAAACAAAAGTGCTACAAAAAACATCGTATTCTTATGAAAGATCATTTACTTGTTGAACCAAATTTAGTACTTGAACAATAGCTTGTGAATCTTTTTGAGTACGTGATGCACAATTTTCCATTATCTCAGCTGCATCAAATCGACCTTGTCGTCGATAAAGCAAACTAAGATTTTTTAATGTTGCTGTTAGTGTCGGTGTATCAATTTGAATGGTTTTATACAAATTGTTTTCTATATTATTATTTCTAATTTTTGTTGATGATTGAAAATTTCTTTCATATGCACATCTAAGAACATCTTTATATAATTGTTCAGCTTCAATGTATTTTTGTTGTTTTAAATAAGCTGATGCAAGATTATGTTTTGTTTTAGCTACATTTGGATCATTGACTCCAAAATTATTTGTATAGATATCAATTGCATGTTTATAATATGATTCAACTTCATCATATTTTTCTTGATTTTGACAGATGAAGGCAAGATTATTAAGTTGTTTAGCAACATCAGGATGTGATGGACCTAAAGATTTTTCACGAATTTCAAGTGCACGTTTACATAATGGTTCAGCTTCTTTGAATTTGTTACGTTTACCTAGACAATAGTACAAGAAAATATTTCTTTTATCGAAATAACAAGAGATAGTATACTATAAAGAACACCAAGATTATTTAATGTGGCTGCTACAGCTGGATGATCATATCCAAGTGTTTTTTCTCGAATCGCAAGTGCATCATAGAGTAATGAAATTGCTTCTTTAAATTTTGATTGATCACGATAAACAAGTGCAAGAATATTGAGCATGGTTGCAACATCAGGATCTAAATGAGAAGAAGTTTAATGCCTACAAAATTTAAACTTCTTTCAAAAAACTTCATAGCCTCAAGAAAGACATATTTCAAAATAGAACATAGCAAAAAATGTTGTGATGAAAAAAATATTTTCTTTTTATCAGTTTATTTTCCACGTATAGGATCGTAATAATTCATCTATTCAAAATATCTATATTACATAATTGACAGAGCCTTTGTTTATATAGTACATCTCTTTGTTCTGGTTTGCAATAAAACAAAAATAAATAAAGATTTTTCTTACCACAAAAAAGAAACCACAAAGTATTGATTAAAGATTGTCTTACAATCCAACTGTTTGTTTTTCAGTATTTACCAACTCAAAGAAAATTCAACGATTTTTGAAAAATCGACTCTATCACGACAATCAATTGCGGCCTCATTAAGAAATTCTATCAAAGCTAAATAGAAGTTTTATTAAATTTCTTCTGTCAGAATCTCTAGGGTTCTTCTGCATGTCCGAGCATGATATTTCTAACATTGCAAATGATACATCTTGACAGAGATTGAACTAATACAGATTTCAAATCTGTCATTATCACTGTGTCTTATTAATTTTTTTGTGCTTATTTTCTTATAAAGGATATGTGTTGATAGGGATTTCAGACCGGTTTCATCTGTGTGTCGTGGTGTGTTAATATTTATAGTAAATATCTTTTATAATAAACATGTTTAGAAATTTTCTTACGTTGATGTCCTAATGTTGTCTCCAGATCTTCAAGTGCTTGTTGACATAAATGTATAGCTATTTCATGTCGTCCCTGAGATGTATATTCAGTAACTAAACTATGTAAAGTTTTTAATCTATTTGGTATTTCACAACCATTTGCTGAAATAAATGAACCATTCACAAGTTGTGATGATAACATGAATAGATCAGTATCAGAATCAATTTTATTCAAATAAGTTTGTTGATTATCTGAAGAAATATCTTGTTCACTATCGTCTAATGGAAATAAATTATTAATCAAATCTTGCTCATGAATTTGATCATCATTAAAATCTAAATTTATTTCTGATATTGTTTGATCAGTAGAATTTTCATTATCATCATCAAATAATTTAATATCTTTTAAGAATTTTAAATTTTCAAGTTCAACTGTGTACGTAGCATTGGTTTGTTCAGATTCATGTAATTTTCTTTGTGTTGATCCTAATTCATCACGTAACCAAGCATTTTCTTGACATAAACGTTTAACTTGTGTACGTAATTTATGTTTTTCACCTTCAAGATTTTGTAAATGATTATCTATTTGCATCATGACTTGAACTTCATTAATTCCTATTTAAACTATGAAAATTGTTAATTTGAAAAAATTTCTTTTCTTTTTACAAACCTAAATCAATCATATCCATTGATTTTCGAAGTAAACCAATTTTTTCGTCGATTTTATTTGATGATAATATTTTCGTCGAATGAATAATATTTTCAAGAATTTTTTCATATTCATTTTTAAGTGCATCAAGACCTTGGATAACAAATTTTGCTGTTTGAAATATATCGTCTTCATTCATTTCCTATACAAAGATATTTACATCTGAAAATGGCGAAGAAAATCTTGTTATCTATGAGAAGGAAAGCTAAACAATCGGTTCTATTTTGTCTAGTAGCATTAACAGTTGTGGAAATAATCATCAAATCATTAGGAAGTATATCTTTAATTCACACACGGAAGATTTAATATATAAAACAAAAGTAAGATGAAGAAATCTTTCAAAACACTTATCAGAAAATAGTATATCCATCATACTATAGAAATATGTTGAAAACAACGATCAACATGGTTATTCCTTTTCTCAGGAATGTTGTTGTTATTCATAGAGAACTACAGAAAATTGTCAAGAAGCAGACAGGAAAGACAAAGAGACACATACATATGTAGGTTTCATGCATAAGATGACAGAGATATGTTTTAGTTGTTTTTTGTTGATAATATCAAGCAAAGACAACAGAGAATAACCTTAGAGTATATGACATTATCAAATGTTATTCCCTGTTGATTCTTTATCTCAATAATCAATATAAGACAACTGTTGTTGAAAGGCATGCATCATTCAATAAAATATATTTTCTCATTTTCGTTTGATTAATAGCAAACTTTAAATCCTATCATTTATTTACTTGTGAAAAAAATCTGTTTCTATGATGATTTATTGGTTTTATATAATCAAATAAACCAATCGTATTTCTTCCAATATTTATGATACATTTAAGATATTTAATTGATTTTAATTTGATAGTTTTCTTGATTTGTTTATTGCATAATTTACAAAAAGAAATGTAGAAATATTAGATGGCAATAGATGAGTTGAAATAATTAATAATCATTTTATCAAAAAAAAAAAAATTCAAAGATTCTCTGCAAAATGTTTTCTTGCGAAAGTAACTTTTACATATTGATACAGAGTTAGTACTTGAATTTTCTGATGAAGTGGAAGTTAACATCGGCAAAAAATTTATTCAAGAACCATTTTCTCGATGAATTCATAAGAACAAGTCTTGCTAAATCAACAATTTATTCAAGCTGAATACGATAAATGCTGTGAAGAAATAGATTACATTATCTGGAAAGCATTTTACTTTAACAAACAAACATAAAAATAATATCTTTTATTTATTTTTTCTAAATAGAATGTTCTGTTTTTGTTTTATTGAGCTAACTGTCTTCATGTGTCTTGTCTTTTGTCGATGATATATTTCGCGGTCCAACAATAATATTTACATTTGTTTTTGGATAATGTTCAGTTAATACCGGAACAAATCTTTCAGAACTATATTTGATTTGTTTAGATTTATCTAATATATCACATCGTATACCATAACAAAGATTTTGATCAATTTCTTTATCATTATAATAGAGTGTAAATGGTATTGGAAAATAATTGCAATCATCTAATTTAATATTTGATAAAATATGTCGTTGAGGTATATGTGGAAAATCAATACGAGTCCATTCCGAAAGTGTTATATCACAGAGAGTAATAATAACAACATCACCGGCTTCTAAAACACAACGATCATTTGAACTTTCGATAACACCACAAAGTGTACGTCGAACCATTTCGCTAGCGCTTCGATAAAGTATTGTCGATTCTGTCAAAATACGATATTAACATCGAAATAGAACAAAAATATATTTTATTCGAATTATGCTTTCTAGGAAAAACTAACTTGTGTAGTTTCATACCTAGAAAATCAAAAGATAAATAAGTTAACTTACTTTGTTTGCTCATTTCAAAAAATAATAGTCTTTCTATTGTATTTGATTAAGTAGTCAATAAGATTCAATCAATAGATAAATAATACAATTGAAATTTCAACGGCTTTGTATGGTACACTATATATAAGTTTTCCGAGAATAATCAAACACATAAATGATTACAAATGTTACGGACGAGGCCTCTTTCTCTTTCTCTCTCTGATTTTGTTATGCTAGGTGTTAAAGAAACAACGAATCAGTTAGTAAGACTGAATGTTGACACTTTTTTCTCTCCTTTTTTTTATTCTATTTTTTTCAAGGACATTTCTCTCTTTTTAAGATATCACATTTAAGAAAATGTCTATAGGTAGTCAGGAAACGACGTTTTCGTCTGTGCTTGAAGTGATCTTTTTCTCGTTTATATGAAAAATAAATTGAGATAGAATAATTTCTGATGAACGAGTCTCTCACGTTCGATGCATTAGAAAAACTGATACATATTACTTCTTACTTTACTGAAGCAGATAATACAGAAAGATAAAAATATTAGATGTTTGCTTAATAAAATATAAAAGAAAAACATTGACATTGTATTTCAATTTAATCTTTAAGAAAAATCAGAGTTGATCTTAAATAAAAATAATATTTTGTTTGCTTCAATGTCGCTTTGACAATTAGGTTCTTGTCGTTTAGACATGATCAAACACTTCTCATTTTTTTATAACAGCAATATGAGTGACCAATATAGGTGCGTTATTTTTCTATTCAGTCAAACTTTCAAGCATCCATTTAGAAAAAGACAAATATTAGGGAACATTAGGTTCATTCTATCCGTGATTAGTTTTATTTTTTTTATTTTTTTACAAACAAAATTATTTTCGACGATCAAAAAAAGAACTTCATACGGTAAAATGAACTAATTTTATTGATTTTTATACTGAAATAAATCAAAGGAGAAGTGACTTTCAAATCTAAGAACTATATATATAAAGCAAATTAGCATAGAAATATAAATTTGTGAGTCGACACAACAAAAAAAGCAATCGAGACGGTAACATTCATATATCTTAAAGCAATACATCTTTGATTTTTAAATAATCTTCAAACTATTGATGTTAGATACAGAAACCCAATTCAAATGTAATTTAACTTAAAAAAAGAATTTATTTCAAGATTTATTTTGTTTCATATTAATTAATATTTTGAGCTTCTCTTAAAAATAATAGAATTATTTCTTTGATTGATTGACTTCGATATTTCAATTTCAACCTTATCGAACAAAATATAAACTGATTTCTTCAAGTGAATTACACCTTGGAGAGTACTTGTTCTAATAAATGATAAATATTGAATTTGATGTCGGCATTTCGTTCCAAATAGATTATATTTTGATTTCTTTTGGTAATAACAGGTGAGTTACAACAAATGACCGCTTTTGGCATTAGATCTTGTTATCATTGAATACTTTTTTAAAGAAAACAACATACACTGCAAGATGTATCGGAAAAAGCTCTACTATTTACAAAGAAAAGATTATTTTACACACACACTTTTTCTTTTAAAAATAGACGTGATTTTGTTGGACTAATTTTCAATGCTGCAAACATGACTATTAACTTGGTACACAATAAATTTCTTATATTATTTTAGCTATTAAAGAATCATAGTCTTTGACATTATTTTATCTTGTATTATTGGTGATGGCGTTCCATACATAATAACAGAAAACCTTAGTATCAGAATTATTTGTCATTTGTGTTTGCTCATGAAATTCACGAAATATTTTGTGCACGATGTTAGGTGTAGACACAAAGAGGACATTCATGCATAGTCCTGTTTTCTCAAAGGAAAAACTATATGAAAAAGTCGTAGACTATCAATTTTTGTCTTACAGTCTTTTTGGCTTTTATATCCTAGGTTTATACAACTATTAAAAATTGTGAGGAAGAATCGCATTCGTACAAGAAAAAAATTTCGGTAGTGTACAAATTCGTGTATGTTCTGATATAATATGCACAAATGTTTATGAAAATGTCAACCTTTGTGGGTGTCGATGAAAACAACCTTCTAATCAATATTTTCAAATTCTACATCTCCATAAGGAAGTCAAAATGACAAGACAATATTGCAGTGAGACTATATTAATGAAAATCGTCGAAATAACATGCTACAAACAACAATAAATATATATGCACATCCCAAGCTACATTAGACATAAGTTTGCATAATAGTATTGCGCTACATTTGATTGAAAGATGATCAAAATAAGTACATCATAAGAAATAAATGAAGAACTGAAACTAAATTTTGCTATTTGTTTTTGTGAACCAAACCAAATTTTAAATTCAAAAAATTCTATTTGTTTCAATTTTTTAAGTAATTTAAATCATATGCGTATTAGTCAAAACAAAATACATAGACCTTCAATGAATATACATCTAGACAATGCACGCTAAAGACATACACTCAATACCTCAGTTTTTGAAAATATATATCGGTGAACATAGAACAAATCGGCCAAAGATAAATTGAATTATTATCCATATCAGTTGAAAAATAAGTGTACGTGTACGTGTACGACTAAATGCAAATAATTTCTTATATGTTCTTTCATATGATTCATGGGAATCTATTTATTGGTTTCCCAGAATATTTTAAGTGCTTAATTTTATTCATATCGATGTCTTCTTTTTGTAAGAAATATTTCATAATTAGTTAGCACTTGTAAAATAAAAGAATATCAAATAATAGTATATATATATATATATATATATATATATATATTATCCAAAGAATTTAAACAATCTTTTTTTCTGCATGAATAAATATTTTTTAATTAAAAATTAGTTATTCTTTTTATTGTAGATTGATTCAACATTGGTTCGATTTTATTTAAATATTGAACCAAAAAAATAGCTGTTGTAATAATTATTGATAGTTGGACTGGATTATGTAAATAGTAAAACTAAAAGTATTAGATGCAAAAACGAAAGTAAAAATTTCTCTATTAATAAATTCTTACCATTAGTTATTGTGTTGACTATGAGTTGATAAAAGAGACACTCGACGCTTACTTAAGTCTGAAAAGAAAAAGGTCGATTGTCAATCGGTTCCATTTACAATATTAGTAACAATCATTGATGATACACAGAAGAAAGTCACAAAAGTAATGACAATACTTAATTAAATTTTCCTCACTGATTCTATTGTTAAGCTTTTAAGAAACAATGATTTTAAAGTCTGTATAAATTTTATTTGCCATCTTAGCAAAAGTTTGAACGAAGAAATTGGTTTTACAGAACCGAAGTGAACTATTGGTTCAATAATGCACAGATCAGCATAAGAAGAATGATGGTCTTGCCTTTCGGCTACCTTGCGGTATGGGGTGCTATCTAGGGGCAGACCAGCGTGTAATACTCTTTAGAAAATGATCGCTTCGAATGTACGAACTTCGAAACTGTCTGTTGGTTTTATAGAAATTCATATAGATCATTTTTGTATTTCCAGTTCATATGATATAATCCATAATGTATTCGATCCAGAGATCATTGTTTATAAAACTAAGAAAGATAATGAATATGAAAATGAATTAATTATATACAACTGATGACATAATAATGATGAAATATAGATATAATTAAATTCATTTGTATAAAATTTATAATTCTTTACATAGATTAATTCATGCATTACTTTTACTCGAACATAGAAAACAAATATTAGAAATGTGAACTGATTTAATATCATTACTTTGAACAAGAAATACAAATGCTGACTTTTCATTCTTAAAAAAAAATATTATTTTAAAAGAAATTCTTCAAACTATCATTTCATGATTCATTACGGTTAAAACCGAGAGAAAGTCTACGATGAAGACAGATATTTAGGTAGTTATTCTATTTGAATTTGTGCAGTAAAAGATCAGAAATAACATGAGTTTCAATAATTCGAATGCAACACTTGTTCTAAACGCAGAGCAATTATACTTACAGCAGTTTTAGAAAGTAGCGTTGATCGATTCGTTCTTTCATCAAAATGATCAATACCATATTTTTGTCTTAATTCATACAATAGTGAATGATTAAATGGACAACTAATATTTGTTGCACCATCCATAAAACCTCCTATTTGCCATTGTCTATGTTCATGTACTAAATCTTCGACCCATAATTCAAGACAATTAAAATGAATATTCGACTGTCGTGAAGTAGCATATTGACAAAAATAGTGATCTTTTTCACATAGTTCAACAAATAATTGTCCATCTGGTGCTAAATTTTCAGTTGGATTAACTGGAATTTCAAATCCATCGATAATGAGTTTAGCTGCATTTCGAATTAATTTTACTAATTCGCTTCGATGAATGCCATTTCGACGTTCATTAATTGGATAGTAAAGACCTTTGATATAGGGTGTACCAGATGTCATGTACTGTTCGAGAAACGATGCATAAGCTTTTCTTGATTGTTCCTGTGCCCAGGGAAGTAAACCGCCTAGATTTATACTCACTGTTCCATCTGGTAAAAATGTTTGATACATTTGTCCTGTACCAGGTCCTGTAATATGAATATCCATTGTTCGTAATAAACGTAATTGTGCCATAAAATTGTTCTCTTTCAATTCATAGGTTGGTATTCGAGCATCAAATCGAGTTGAATTGAAGTGAGGTGATGTGTCATTACGAACTTTGACTTTATCATAATAAACATAAGTAACATTTATTAGTGGCCAAACTAGTTTGCTTGTATTAGTTATGCTTTTGTTCTGATGTGAAATAGTATAATTGTTAAGTTCATCAATTGCTGACTTGATTTCGTTTTTATCAGCTTCCGAAAAACGCTTATTATCAATTACATAAGCATACAATATATCATTTGGACTTCGTCTTTCATTCGATTTTCGAAGTGGGATTGGTGCAATGACACCATGTTGAGCGTACATTCGATCACGAAACAATCTTGTACCATTCATTTCTACACCACCAGGCAATTGTAGATTTGGTTGTGTACAACGTTGACACATTGTACCACTACCCATAACAAGTTCATCAAATACAAACCATCGACCAGTTGATATACTATTTAGAATGTAGTGTTTAATAATACCAAGACCAGCAAATCGACTATAGATATCTTCACTCCAACATTCTTCACACCTTTCTATTGAAGCGAGTAAACGGAAAGGTTGAAGATGTCTTGGTGGAAATCGAGTTAAAGCAACATAAGCCGGGTATAGTCCATCAAAGAGTGCATGACCAATATTATGATGCCATGGTTGACCGAAGAATACTGTGACACCTGGCATTGATGTTGGATCAGCTAAATCACGAACAAAACTTTCGAGTTCGAAATATGAATCGAATTCGCGTCGATTCGGCTCCAAATCATAAAGTGCAAATCCATCAAATCGTACTTTTAAATTTGGAAATTTTCTACCTTTTAATGTTAGCATGGTAAAAGTACTATCGATATAGTACAAATTTTTGTATAGACATGATTGATTACGTAGAGGCCCAACACATTGAACACTCGTTTCAAATAATCTATTGTTTGTGAGAAAACTTTTATCAATTGAAGAAGTTAAATGAGCATGAATAGAGGTATTCATGATTATATTGTATGGTGATGTTGATTCTTTATATAATCGATGAACCGTGTCATGTTCTGCTACTGTAAAATTGTCTAAATCATTTATAGACTTTTTATGTTGATAATTCTGAAGGATGTCATCAGTTTTTTTCTTATTTAGTAGCAAGTACGTTAAACCGATGAAGATTACGATGAAAATAACTGGTGCCAAACGTGTTAATTTTAAATAAATTAATCGTATTATCTTGAATATAGTCATTCTTGTAAAAATGACATCAGGCATAATCTAAAGTTATCACAATTTTTGAAAATTAAGCACAAGCTGAAGAGAATTTTCTAAAACAGCAATAAAAATTCATCAAAACAACAAAACATTAATTGATCTTTACTGTGTTTGGGTGAGTATGGATGATATTGATGCCTGCTTAAAGAGAACATCCACACATCTATTGTCATAATCTTTTCAGGTTGCCGCTAAAATAGTCGAATACTGCCTAATCAAGATTCATGATTTTTGAAAATCTTATAAAGCGGTTTTTTTCCCTTTCAAGAGTTATCATTTTGAAAGTTATTTGAACAGGAATTTTAATTTTACTGTGACTTTTTACAAGACTTCATTATTGTGAGCTATTCACTGAATGAATATTTTTCAAAGATTCAACTATTAATTATATGAAGCAATCAGTATAGTGAACTAGGCGAGCACATCGTCTACATACAGCATATTGTCGTATGCATCGGAATGCAAGCCTCTAAATATCTTGATTCCTATTATCATGATATAAACAAACACAGACCAATTCGAAGTGGCTTGAATATCAGTATTTATTTTGATATAGAATACAAGAACAAAACTAAAGATTAATGAAACACTTAACAAAAACAAAAACCAAGCCAAGATTACAGTGAAAAAACGTGCTCAGATGTAGAATTGTCTATTTCGAACTGTGTTGTTCTTATGGTAAAGTAAAAACATGATATATACTACAAAAGATAGATCTGCATTTTTGAATATATACGATAAATTTTAAAAAAAATAAATCCTTGTAACATCTTGTCCATCACGTTCCCAGTCGACTCTTTCTGAGCAACTTCCCAGAGACTTCGTTGATCTGTCGAGACTCTCTGTGAAGTTGCTTTGGAATAGTCGACTAGAGGTTCCAAAAGTACAAAGTACTCTTACTGTTTTACTTACTACTATTCTTATGATCTTTATCTGATATGCTTGGCTTCGAGATTAGCCTCACTAGTATAATTAATATTGGACTGAAATGTAGTATTCAAAAATCCAGTTAGATTAAGTCTTTGCTTGGCTCAGTATAAATCTGACTCATCAGAATAGCTCTTTAATCATAGACAAGATCGACAAAAAGGATGTGGGGTGCGTTTGAATAATTTCCTGTATATTTATTCGTAAACAATTATGCATGTATATTTTGACAATGAGAAATTAACTATAAGTATATATTCAATTTTTAATATCATCAATTAATAGCTAATTATTTGATATTTAATTGAATTGAAGTAATATTGACAGACTTTTTGTGTCAAGGTTGTAACTTTGTTGATCGATATAACTTCGATGCAACAGATACACCATTTACTGACATAAGGATACTGTTTTTTTTACCCTTGACATTTTCAAAACTTACTATATAAACGGATCAGTTTTGATCTACTTGGGTAATGAGAATCAAATATTTCCAGTAGGAATATTTATTTCGTTTAAATTTTCTCAATTTGAAATAAAAAATAATTGTAATAAAAATAATGATATTTACTATGCTTTTTCGTATATGACTATTGTTTATCTTTTCGTTTGAGCATTACTTTCAATCGATAATAGGATTATTTTCTAATTGGTAAACCTTTTCATACGTACTTGCTTATTTTTATTATGACACTATTGATATAAAAATATATTTTTATTCATGCAGTTAACAGCGTCACTATACTATTATAAACTGTGCCTTAGCCTACGTATTCTGTACATATGCAAAAATTTGCTTGAAACATTTACAATGAAGAAAGATAAAAAATTTACAAAAAAGAAAAAGAAACTGTAATAATACACATGTGACATGCATTGTATTTTTCCGTCACGGTTATCGCTTTTTTTTTCTTTTACACACTGTACAATTGCTGATGAAACATCAATGCAAAAAAATAGAAAAAAAAATAATTGCAAAAAAGCTAAGTGCATGCATGCTATAATCTAATATTTTAACAAAAGCAAAATATACTAAACAACTGAGTTGTCTATCATTATAGAATGTTTAATTAAACCATGGTATAAATGCTGAAATTTTGGTTATCTAGGTTGTTCTGATTGAAACTGAGGAGTAAAGAAAAGATGAAAATCTTGATACCAGTTTTAAATTGCTTGTCTTTTGGGCGAAATCTATCGTATACTTGCATAAACATTCAAAGTTAGTACCATTCCTTCGGAAAGCTTTCAACAAATGTGGTTGAAATCTTCAATAACAAGTCTGTGAATCTTTCGCTTGTCAAGTGAATTTTCTTTTATATTAATGAAAGGCAAGTTGCTATTACTTGTAATATTTGGCGATTTCCTGAATTTTGCTTGAATATTGGTTATTTGTTTTTTCACAAATATTTGATGAAACATTAGAAGTGTTGTGAAAACGTTAGACGATAATATATTTTTCGATGGCGTTGATCACTATCGAGGAGGGATTAATACACAAGACTATGTTTCGGCTGTTAAAGCGAAATAAGAGAATAGCACGGAAGGATTAACCAATTATTTCATAGCTATGCAGACTCACCACAAGCTATGGATGCTGAGAAATGACTGGCAAAACATTGAACCATTAGAGAACTCTTCTGTAAAAACGACTTTTTTGTTTTTACTAACCTACAATAAACTATTCGATTAGTGAAAATGTTTTAATTTTCTTGTTTTGCACAAAAATATGCTTCCTTTCGCATAAATCTGGTAGGTATCAATGGTGAATACATAAAAAATTAAATATTTGTGACAGAAGATTTAACTGGTGCCGGATGTATGAACCTCACGGAATTTGAGGATGAAAGCGCGATTCTATTAAGCTCTGTCTTCACGTCTGCCGTTCTAGATATTTACCGTATCTGAAGAGAATTCCATGTAATGATCATCAATTTCTCACTATTTCATATAGAGTGTAAGTAATTTAATTGCAGTTAGACTACTCTATTACTTGAAGAAAAGACAGGCTCAATATGCAAGTCTAAGCTTTTGCTTGTAAGCAATTGAATTTTGTTGAAATAATTTACAAAACTAATGTGGTGTGTATATTTCAAATAATTAACAAAATACTGAGTTAGTTCGCCATCGCGTTTCGTGCTATTTATTTCAATATAAATACTCATCAAGACTTTGGATTTACAATTTTCAAACTTTTTAAATCGAAATAACTTTTCAAAAACAAAAAAAAGAAATATATCAACTTGTTGATATTCGGGTTTTGATTACCATCATAACTGATAACTAATTTTAATAGTACTGATATTTTATTTATCATTTGTTGATATAAATGAACACTACAATTTTTAATACCTTTTTATTGTTGTTTTTTATTTGTTCAATAGAATTGTATTTTCTAGTACAATTTAATTAATCAAAACATGTTCAACAATATCCGTTGCTGGAAACTTGATCATGTTAAAAAAATTATATTTAATAAATCATCGAATTCTTCATTTTGCATATCTGTCATCAATAAATGCACTTTCTCACGATGATTTTCACTTTACGGTTTGATGAGCTGTAACCAATCAGTAAAAACATTTGAAGACTATTTTGGAAATTTATCGATTCAAGTTATTGGAAAATTGATAAAATAGTACATGACTAAGTTGTTGCCATTTCTACATTCATAGAAAAATGATAAACATATAACTTTGTCTTTATTTAGCACAAAAGAGGTATAATAATTCGCCAAATGTTTTAGAAAGAAAAAGTTCTAAAATTCAAAACATCCAGAAAAGCCGATAGAGAAAGCTTTATCGGAATCCGAATTAGCAGCTAATTACAATCTTGATAATAGTAACAGAAATCCTAAAGCGAAAATGTTTACCTTTATCAACTTACAATATGTTTCAATTGATGTATTAATAATTAAATTTTTACAACGTCTACTGAAAAATTCATTGGGTTTTTGTCATAAGCATCATAGTTCAATCATTTTTTAATCAAATAATCATTACTTGTTAATCATAATAAAATTAGATTATACATCAAAGTGATTTAAAAAAAAGTTTGCTTGTGTATATGAATCATTCTATGCTTAAGCAAATTTATCATACAAATAAAAACAAAGAAAAATTCTGAGATATATCTTCTACTATAAACACACAAGACGAAAAAAACAAGAGTTGGAAAATGATTTTATTAATACAAAGAAAAAAGATCTACTATTGTTTGACATTCATTCATTAAACTATTGATAGATATGTTGAAAAACCATCTACATCAAAATTGTTTCATATTATTAACTCATGGACGAATTGATATAATAACTGCAAATGAACACTTTTTCTATGATCCCAGAAAAATATTACGTCAAAACTTGACCAGTTAATTGAAGATCACGTCTGTAAAGTTTTTCAGCAATCAGATTCAAATAAGATGTTGCTAAACGCATATTTGAATATGTACTAGAGAAGAGATATACAGGAATTTTATATTTAGCTTGAAATTCTTTTGCATCATTTTCTGTTAATACAGCTAATTGATCAAACCTATAAAAAAAAAGAAATCGATTAAATACGATATTTAACAAGTCGATAACATATCTTACTTTGTAACAAAAACTAGACTGACAAATGAACGACTTGTACTACACTGACTACGTTTTTGTTCAATTAATGTAGGTAATTCATTGAAACTTTCACGATCAGCAGCAGAAACAACAAAAAGTATCATATCGAGTGAATCGACTGAGTCCTAAATTGAAAAATGAATCCTATTGAAACATATTTATATCAATAGAAATACAAAATTTACCTTATCAATATAATCAAATCTAGTTGAACTTGTATGTCCAACATCCCAGAAATCGAGTCGAAACAAATATGTTGGTTTATTTGGTTGATTTACTCTGACAGGCCAATAGATATTTGTTGTTTGAATACCAATTGTTGGTTGTGCATTTATTGTTGAAAATTCTTTACCCATCAAAGCACGTATTAAACTAGTCTTGCCACATCCTATGAAGTTTCAATTAAAATATAAATAGAAACATACTTGAATTTACCTGTTTTACCAACAAGAAGAATTTTATAACGATATTGTTTTGCAACTAGACCAGGAGAAAGTGTTGGAGTAAATAACAACGCTACATACATATATACACATAAAATGAATTATAGATTTTCGACAAAAAACATTTTATTAAACATACAAAAATCCCTGAGTTGATTATCTGTTCGTTCTTTAATTACTTTCCAGTACTCCACTGCTTGATCACTACTAATCCATTGATGATCAAGAAGAGTATTTGGATGATCATCAGTAGTCAATGCAGTCATTTCTTTTTATTATTATCTAAAACAATTAGAGATTATTCAGTGGTTTTTTCTTTGTTTCGTATTCCATCGTCCACTAAATTTAACAGTTGATTCAACAGCTGTTAATTCATCTTCTTGATGAGCTTCGATTGTATGTAATCGAATCCAACAATACATGATAAAAAAAGAACAATAGATAGAAATCAGTAACAAAGGAAGAAATGGAAGAATACGATCAATATGTAATACTGTGTGGAAACATTCAACATAGAGACAAAGAGGAATTAATAAAATAATAGATAATGTTTCCAATTGATTGAGCAATGGAAGAGTACAAGTTGAACCCCGATCACTATTTATTACAAAAATGAATATCATGAATATAATAGTAGAGTTCAGTAACTTACCCATGTACTTCGCCGAGTGTATAAAAAAGAAAAGTTGTATAAGCAACGAAAAGTGCAATCTTGATTGGAATTTCTAAATATAGAAAAAAAAAATCATTAAAACTCGATTAAGAAAAAATTTAATCAATGTACCTGGTCCAGTAAATATAAGTGGAAACAATGAAAATCCACCGAATGTAGAAAGTAAAAGAAAATAACGAGCATGTTCTCGACTATCGAAGGCTAACAAACTACAAAGCAACATAAATATGATTTTCATATATATTAGATAAGATTACCTGAGTGGTATAATTGAAATTAAAATAGCTTTTTCATGAACATGCCATCCAAATAGAAATGATGTAAGTGCACAAAGAATAATTGTCTCAAGAAATGTTCTTTTAGAACAACGACGACATAATCGAAATAAACTTGGCTATGTAAACCAAAAGAAAAAACGGATAAACAAGTCAATAGTATAGGTAATCAATATTTACAATCATAAAGATTATTGTTAAGAAAAATGTCATTGTTGGGGTAATAGAAGGTAATACTTGATGTTCAATATCTTGCACAAGACCAGATGTCATGGATACGGATATAGAACGAACATGAAATAAATGAGTATAACGTCCTAAAGAAAAATTTTCCATTGATACTTATTCAATACTGAAGATATTGAAAAAAGACGAAGTATTATGACTACAATGGTCCATTAGTACATACATGTAAGTTTTTTTTCACTTTATAGATCTTTAAAAGGTTTATTTTCCGATTCTAAAAACAAAATTGACCATAATAGCTTTATGCTAGAGCTATCCGTTTCTAACCGAGCAAATTGATTTTTTTCTACATAAGCACAAAATTCAAATGAAATTAACTGTTCTTTGAAGATGTTCGGAACTGAAAACTCACTTTCAAGCAAAGTAGCTATGATATTTGGAATCAGCACAATAAAAACTGGATTGAATAATATGCATTTTATCGAAAATCATTTTTCATCAAAATTTCATCAGCACTTCTCCCTGATTCATTTTTTCCTGGGATCTCCCTCAGGCAAAATTTCGATGAAAAATGTTTTTAGATGAAATTCGTGTTGATTCCGAATGTTATAGCTATTTTGCTTAAAAGTGAGTTCTCGGTTCTGAAAGCTTCCAACAAATAGTCGATTTTCTCGAGTACAAACAGAGAGTCTTAAATCGCATATGTAAATTTTTAATCAGTGGTAAGACGCTTCAAAGAACATAGAAAAATTAGCTTAATCATAAAACGAAAAATCGTTAATTCTTTTGCTGCTCCCAAAAGTCATCGTTTCATAGGAATCACTAGAGTTAATCGAATCATAATTGAACAGCGCCAATATAAAGTTATCATGGTCAACTTTGTCTGCAAAATCAAGAAATAACTCTTAGTCTTTTTTCTGATGTCTTCAGAAAAAACTTAATATCCAAAATCAGAAATGTAATTTTTCATAGTTAATTTGATATATTCTATCCAAAGAAACTAAATCAATTGAAAAGTAAAATTTGATAAAATTTTGAATTTCCAACACCTTATAAAAAATAGAGATCTTTCGAATATTTCATATTTACTTACCAACAATAGCCAATGCTTTGTCAAGAACATTATATATAGCCCATACATTAGGTGCCCAATAAGCATGACAAAGTCCACGTTTAAACGGAAATAATCGTGATAAAACTTGTGGTAATTGGTTCTATGAAAATAAAATTTTAAATTTTGCATAATCAAGAAAAATAAACTTTTATCTTATTATATACCATTAAAATAAATGGACCAAAAGAAAATATAAATGGAATAATAGTAGCTATTCCAAGTGTTATCAAATTGATTGTAAAATACTTCCAATTAGAACCTATACGAGTATATTAGATAGAGTAAAATATTCATACTCACTTTGTCGAATGCAAAATGCATAGAATAAATAAACAACATAAGCTGGAGCAATATAAAGAAAAATATGTTTTAAATTTAGTAATGTTGAAAACCATATTGCACCCATTAAATATTGATTCTTAAATTTAAATATTGATTTTGAATTAATTTTCTTTGATACTTACTTGATACATACAACTGATGGATATTAATAAAATACCTAATAGAAATCCATTGTATTGAAAATGAATATCTATATACAAATGAGTTAAAGATTTTAAACATATAGAACGAAAATTCTAGAACAAATTTAGAATATCATCAACAAAGAAAAAGGATACGATCAACAAGAATAAGACCAAAATTAACGAGTAGACTCAATGCGAATAGTAGTTGAATAATTGGCATCGGTATATCATGATTTTTTCTGCCAATTTGCATAGATTTTAACAATCTTAGTTATTTTCAAGAAAAAAATATAGTAGAAAAATGAATGAAAAGAAAAAAAATAAGGAAACTTACGATAAAATTGCTAATGCTAAAATAACTTCACTACCGATAACAGTTAATCGTTGAAATAATTTCGTTTTTTCACTTGCATAATTATGATTATTAATATCGAGCATAGCTGAATCAAAATAATGAGCAAATTTCGATAAACCATATTCGAAATGAGCAAAAAATGGTGGATAATCAAGTGTCCATTCTGATCGATTCTATTTGATATAGAATGATAATACAATGAGTTTTTAGGAATATTCTATATTACCTCAAAATACCATTGATTCAATGGTAAACTATGTGTCAGAGCAAGCCAATTACGATGTACTTCAAAGTCTGTTGAATGACTATAATATAATTAATCAAAGCGTCGAATAATCAGTATTTTTAAGATATTCGAAATCACAAAATTTGTCTATTAGTAAAGAAATGACAGATATTTAACTAAAGCCTCTACTAGACATTCACCTCGGTCGAACGTTCACATTCAGTTTTGAAGATGTTTCATAAAAGTAAGTAGAAATTAAAAGAAAAATTTCAAATTCGGCTATAGTAGATCTAAACACAGAGCAATAAATGATGCAAATGCCGAAAGTCTATAGATATCGTAAAAGAAGACCAGCAATGTTCGGAAATACATGAATCTGACCACCAAGACAGACTTGGAGCTTGATACATGCCTAATCTATAATGATATGTGTATCAAATTCAATAAAAATAAAGTTTTATTTTATTCTATGTATTGACTCAAGTAATTGTTGGATTTTTTTCTATTCTTATATCATATGGAAAATGAAAAATAATTCTTTATATAGTAATTAATCACTAGGTTGATCTTTTATATCTGTTTATTCTTATATCTTTTTCTCAACTCATTTTGAACAAAATGTCTACCCTGTAATTCAAATCATCATTACTATCGGTTTTCTGTTATTATTCATATGTTTCTAAGATGCCCTATGTTCAGTTGGGCTACAAATCATTCTATAATTCTCTGTTTTTTATAGCAACTTATTTGTTTTTATGAACACTATTGAGACCAAGAAGCTGCAGGCTCACGTTTTTGTGAAACCATACCTCCTCCCAAAAAAAACGAAACTTGGACCAGACCCGACCGAAATTTTCCTAATGCGTAATATAGAATTATAGACAGATTATGCTATATAAAAATTAGTCTTACGAAATATATTCAGCTTCTAGTTAGTTTGAATTTGAAATCTAATTACTTATTAAAATTTATTGAATTAAGAAACATATTAAATATAATTTGTTAAGTATATTTACTTACTAGCATGGTAAAAGTGCTAATTTAATGATAGCACCAATAGTGAAACTTAATGTCACAACAATTCCCCTATAATAATTTTTTATAGTCATCTAAAATAAATAATTTCTCAGACTTTATTTTTTAAACGATAGTCTTATTAAATAAATATATATTAAAATAAAATTTTCAATTATACAAATTATTCGTATTCATTAAAAAAGTCTTCGAATATATTAGCAATCATATTTGGTGTTAATTTAAATGAAGAAAAATTTGATGTTGTCGTTACAATATTTGATGTTGATGACATAGCTGATTGATTTCGAATATTTGATCGAATTTCATTTTGTTTAAGTAATGACATTGTATTTCGTTTTAAGTTTGATCCAGTTGAATATGGATGTTGAATATCATCTTTTTGAGATATTAAACCTTCAAGTCCTCGTGAATTTGTAATACGTGATGATCCGGCTCGTTCTGCTAATAACATTTGACTATGAGATCCTATTTCATTTGCTGTTATATCTTCTTTATTGGAATCTTTTGTATCCTGTCGATATAATTCTTTACTATCAATTGGTATTGATACTGTTGGTGATTGACGTAAATAATTTGATTCACTTTCAATTGTAAAAGCTATACGTATAAGACGATTTAATATATTATTTAATTCATTAATAGCATTAGCTGCTATTGGTATGAGTACAAGTGAAATAGCAACAGATGCTTGTCCATTTGATAATAAGATTGATTTAGTAGCATCACGAATATGTTGCATAAACTCATGATATTTTGTAATAATCTTAAAAATAAAAAAATAAACAAAGTTTTTATTGATATTTTTAATTCATATTTACATACCATACGAAAACTAAGTGCTATTTCAACATAATCACTAAGGTCTTCTTTTGACATTAGATTTAATGGTCGTTTTTTCTTAGATTCTTGTTTATTGTCGATTTTTTGTTCGACAGTTTCTTGTTTTGATTCAGTCTTGTTAAATAAATATGTTATTAGAAAGTGAGGCAAAAGTTTTGTATTCATTTTGTTTCAGATCTAATGTTACAATTCAACTTTTTAAAGACTTGATCATTTTTCTTGTCAGAAAAAGCAAAATGTCTAGTGTGAAAATGCGTAAAAGAATTTGATCAGAAAATTTTTCTGAACGCCACAAAACTTTTCGGTAATATCGGCAAGAATATTTGTATTCAAATATATTTGTTTGATTTTTATTAATTATCATGTATCTATAGCTGTTCATTACAATGATACCTTGCATGCAATATTAAAATGTTTAGTCTAAATCACAAGAGACTGAGCAACAAATAGTTTAATTTAAAAGAATCAATCTGGTATATTGTAACAAGAAAACAAGGTTTTGTCTAAATATCTCACATAGAAGCTGTATATTCTATTCCAAGCAATATTATTTAGTGAAAGACTGGATAAAAGAAGTATCTTAAGGTCGTCAGGATTGAAAAAGAGGGTCGATCACTCAGCAGATCAATTGGAAGATATTTGCTAAAATTGGTTTTAGCGTTTTTCTAGAATTGATGATCAAAACAAAAGAATTAAGCATTGGAACTCCGTCGAAAAACAACAAATTTTCAAGTTTGGATAGAAGTGCATTCCTACAACCTCCTGTTCAATGAAAAAATTTCTCAATAAATTTTCTTCTAACTAGGAAACATAACCATCTGTTAATTAACGATTGAAGTAATATTTTGCTGATAAGTAGAACTCAGAGAAACTAGAAAAACATGCAATGATTTTCTCTCATAGATCTTCCTCATGGAGTTTTGACCTCTTTATCAGACTATTGACTTGTGATAAAGTATTCATAAAAGGATTTTAAAAAAAGGATAAAAAGACCTATTTATGAATGAACAACAATTCGTTCTTTTGATTTTTTTTAATGAACACTTCATCATAAGCCGAACACTCTCGTAAGTTTTTTATGACTTTCAGGAAGCATTTCCAATCAAATTTTTAAAATATATTTTTACACTAGACATTTTGTTCCTTCTAACAAAAATAAAGAAAGATGAGTTTTTACAATATTGTGTTGTAACTTTATATCAAAAACAAACATTAATGTAGAATTTTGTCTGGTCGGTGGTTTTTTTTTCCATTAAATAGCTTACATTTTCATCAATTTGTGTTTTTGATAAACTTTTTTTCTTTTTCTTTTTTTTTGTTTGAAATTCTCCACCATTTTCTTTAACAAGACGTGTTAATAGTTGAACTTTTTTATTTAATTGTTCAACACGTACATTTGTTGAAGCAACAAGTAAAAGAGTTGTATTTGTTGAACGTATGCATGATACACGTAATAACATTAAATTTGCCTGAAAATAAAAAATTAATAAAACTTTATTTTATTTTTTGTATTTATTTCTTAAAATTATTTTTCTTCTTTTTCTTTTACTTTTGTTCGTTTACAAGCTTGTAAAATACGATCAAGATAAAGAGAAAGATCATATTTTAATGTTGTTGGTACTGTACATGGTTTTGATGAATTTTCAACAGTTTTAAAATCAGTTTTTTGTGCATTTGACGCATCTTGAAGTTGCATAGCAAGACTAATACGTCGATTTCGATCATTAAAATGTGATTGAATACGTATTGTATCAAGTACATTAATTGAAAAATCAATTAGATCTTCAGTTACCGTTAATAAATCTATTTGAAAGAAAAAAAAACAACAATAAATTTCGATTCGATTTACCATAATAATAGATCAACCTGATAAAACAAAATCCGCGGTGGGATCAGTTAAAGACGTAGTACGATCACACATTAGACTAAAGTCGATTCGTCATTAGTATCTGTTGAGTTATTAGATTGAAGGGAAGGAGAAATGAAACCAAAAAAAAAACAAACAGGACTATATTAGATGAGTTATTATCAATACAACTTGGCGCTTTTTTATTTGAATTAGAAAATAAAACTGATTCATATATAAAACTTGCGATTTTAAATAAAAAATAGTTTTAGATTGATGAGTGGGAAAAGAAAACAGGAAGAAGGAAATCGAAATGAAAACTATGTTTTGAATGAATAAAAAACTCAAACGATATTTTTTTTTTTGTTTTTTAATAAACGAAGGCAAGCTGCCGTTAATGTAAAAGTCGAGCAAATATTAGATTTTGTTGAATTGTAAATTAGTGAACTGAGTTCACGACATTGATTATGGATACATAATTTTTTATTTTTAGACAAGAAATTTAAAAACTATATATTCGTAATCAGCGTCATGAGCTTTATCCACTCATTTATAATTCGATAAAATCTAATTTCCGCTCAACTTTTGCATTAGTAGTACCTTATATAATAAAATAACTTAATTTAAAGTTTTTTGTTAAATGAAACGAATATTGGCGCACTTGTTCAATGTTAGATAAACTTTTCGATTGGTTTCTTATTTTTCGTTTTTTGTTAGTATAAATAATAAATAGCTGATGATTATATCTATTGAATTCTTTCAGATTATATACATATATATCTTTCAAATAAATGATTCTTGCAAAGAAATTAATTAGGTAATGAATACATTAGCCAGTAATTATGAATATCCAAGTTTTACTACCGAAAATGATAATTCTAATAAAAAATTAATCAATGAAGTTAATGGTGTGAATATGTCATATAATCAACAATCAAAATCTCATTGTCAAAAATGTGGACGTCGTAACCGAACTCATAACCCACACACAAGTAATTGTCGAGTAAAGTATGAACAACATCATTGTCGTCATGGTCATCGATTAAAATGCAAACGACAATCACGTCATTTTCCTACTGGATTACCATCATGTTCAATCATAACTCAAACCAATGATCAACATACAATATCAAAGAATGTTCTTAATCGAAATTTTTCAAAAAAATCTAGTCAAACAAATATACTTATTGATCAATTAATTCAAGTACAACAATTAAATTCTGCAAAATGTAATACTCAAAATCATAGTTATACTCATAATATGGATAATGATTATAAAAATGACGAATATAAAATGTTTATAGACATTAAGAATAAACATAATTCGCATAAATTAGAACGTGCTCAACAAATGATATATCTCAGAGAAAATATAAATAAGTAAAATCAGTATCAAAATAAAATAAATATTTATTAGAATGAATTAATTTAGTTTAACCTATCGAGAATTTCATTTTCCGAATGAATATGTTTTATTAAAACGATTAGAAGAAAAAAATCATCTTATTAATCAAAATCGCTTTAAAGTTGATCATTGTTTTCGTTCATTACAGCTGCAATATCAAACAATGAGGTCAGTTGTAAACCTTTTTTTCTTTATATTCATTAAGGTGCTGGCTATTCGAATTTTTTTTGTCATGGTTGGATACAGCTCGTCAAGTTACCTTTTCTGACATGTTTAGACAATGTTTTTGTACTGAAAATTAGGTTTAAAAATTATGATATGCTACAAGCATCAAGTTCCAATATTTATCCAATTTGTTTTGATTTTATTTGTTGTATACTTGGAAAGAAAATCATGCCTACTATTTTAAAAATATTGATTGATGATTGAGACAATCGACTTTTTCGATCTGCACAAAAGTCTGCATCGAATAGTATACTTCATAAACTATGATTACCCTAAAAATAATTTGTGTCCTTAGTTTATTATTACGAAGATACTATAGTTTTACAATATTTTTTAAATGAATGCTATGGTTCAGACAAAGTGATTTTCAAATTTCGATTTGAAACATTACATAGAGACAACTCTTAGAAAGAATAGTTTACTTTGAAAGTTTCAGATTATTTTGATTTGTTCCTCTTCCGAACTACTAGCATCCAATTTGCTGACTTGTATCAGTGATATAAAAGACACGCTTTCACTATAGCTATATCGTAGGATAGGAACAGCAACAAGATCTGAAATATTTACAATAAAATATTCTTATTAAAGACTGTCTTTCTATAAAGTTTCACGTCGAAATTCAAGAGTTATTTTTCTTTTGGTGTTCCTGAGAAGTACAACATTGAATAAAAAAAATCGTACAACTGCTGTAACTCTGAGCAAATAGGCTAAGAACATGAACTCTTATGGTAGTCATAGCTCATGTGAATCTACATAATGTACATAGATACGACATATCGGTTGGAGAACTTTTCGTGAAAGGTCGAAGTTCAACGAAAATTAGTTTTAACTATTGAGTATACAATTCGATGCAGTTTTTTGTGTTGATTCTGAGTATGGTATCCGTTTATCGCCGAATAGAAGTTTTGATGGTCAATATCTTTGAATATAAACTCGTATTCATGCGTTTTGTTGTCAATTCAAACAATCAGTTTTCTCAATAGCCAAATAATATCTTTCAGAAAGCATACATCATTTTTCCTAACTATACGATGAATAAAACCAAACAACAAAATCCGATAAATATTGAGATTTGATGCTTTTTATATATTTTAATATTTATAGGCTTTGCTAAGTTTCTTTAAACCTTAGTTGCACTAGCAAAATATTGTCTGAAAATATCATAAAAGGTAACTCGACGAACTCTATCTACCTATGACGGAAAAAAAACGCTGGAAGAAAAAGTCGAATCGTCGGCACCTTGTTTTCAGTCTTTTTCTATATATATTTATTAGTACCTTACTTCAAAACATAACTATCACTTCATTTAATTACTCTAAACAAGAACCTGGTGAAAGCAAATCAATAGTTAAACCATCATTTAAACGACGTTCACTTTCTGAAAATCTTGAATTCAATAAAAATACATCGAATGATATCATACATCATTCGGTATTATCAAATGATCGATCTCTTCTTACTATCAACGAAATAAATAATACAAATACGAATGAAAGTTTAATAAAACAAAATGATAATTTATTTATAACTGATAAAAATGATTCCACGATTTTTGTTACACCGTATAATGAATATAAACAACAGCAATATTCTGAAAATGCGACTCGATCTTATTTGAATACTAGCTCTTTAACAGAACCTAAACAACAAGATGTTCAATTCGATACAGCTGTTATTATTGATGTCACAAAATGTCCACCAGTACCTAAAACAAACACTAATCTTACACAACAATCATCAATTCAAAACAATTGGAATCATATAACACCAACATTTTATAAAAAAAAACAAAGTAATGAATATATCACACGAACAACATCAAGTATGCCGATACTTCAAATAAATCAACAAGAATCATCTCCAATCTATATTCCTAATCAAACAATTTATTTTGATCATTATTCAAATTATATGAATATTTATCAACCACAAACAATGTTTCTTCCGTGGTCATATAATTCAAATTGTACACATCAACAACAAATATCACCAGATTTGATTTTTAATAATCCGGTAAGTCAATAATTTTTGAAAACATCAATAAAAGATTAAAAAAAAATAAATAACCAACTGACGGATCACCCATAAAGTATCAATCACTTTTATTTTCTTGTTTGAAACAGTGCAAACATATTTCAGAGGCTTCGTTTCTAGCTCATTCAACAGAACATTTTCCGCTCTGCAAAATCGTGTATTTTATTTGGAAAATCATATTCATATAATAAAGTATTTTATTATTTCAACACCCAATACTGCGACGAACTACATCAAGTTGAATTTTTTTTTATAACAAAACACATTTGATCAATTAAATTTTTCTTCTTGGTTATTTTGTCTTAGTGCATCTGGTCACCTAATTCGGACTAAATTGAGTAATCGAGGGAATTAAGATCAAAACTGTTAGACGGTCATCATGATACCGGTCAAGAAACCTCAGGAATGACCTTCGCACCATGTTTGAGTGTGATGATCACAGCATGGCCATTTCCATCTTGTAATGCGATTGGCAATATTTTGTTAACATAATATTAATAACTGATTGTAACTTCCTTGGCAATAACAGACGACATGATACTATAAGAAAGTTTTCTTTTCGATGCGCTCTTCCATTTGCACCAACTTATTGACGATTCGGAGCACATCCTGTCGTTTTGACGATAATATGCAGCATCGATTTCAAATCAATTTTCGATTGTCTTGTCGATATTTTACTTTTTTTTTAGCGTGAAGAGGATGCTGATACACCCATGAATCAATCTTTTTGTTTGATTTCGATCTATACTTGTTTTTAAACGTATTGCATCTCATTCTTTGAACATTTTGATCCATCTGTAGCAGAGGCATCCATTCGCCACGGCCGTCACGACTTCAGCGCTGCTGCAGCGGCAATTTTCAGCCTTGATGGATATCTGTAATCTATAGGCTATTGGTTTCCAAACTTCAGCAGCCAGTTATTTCAAAATTTGTTGACCAATAAATCTTTGCTAGTGTAGTTGCAATACAACATTTTCCATGTCTTTACTTTTCATGGTGTTTTCTTTAATAAAAGAAGGAACTTTCTTGGCTTACAACTTTTGTAGAGCAAAATATTCTTTATCAAATGAGTTGAAAACAAAATCTTAGAACTATGTTTGCACTACTCAAGAGAAGTGACCTAGTCTTTATGGATCACTTTGTATTTGATATAGATTTGCCGTGAAGCTGTTTCATATGACACTATTTGCTTTCCTCCAAATTCAAATCAATCAAATGAACTACAGCACTTAACAACGTAATTCTTCCTTTAAATCTTCTTATAATCATTTCTTTTTTTTTTCTCAATAGTAATCACCTATCTTCGAATAAAAATTCTACGAATACTTCGTCATCTATTCATGAAACATCTGAAAGTCAAAATTCACTATGTTTTACTAATAGCGAAACTATATCGAATATTTCAAAAGCAAAAACAAGTACTAAAGAATTCAATCAATCAATAAAATATACTCAAACTATTAATAAGATTAAACAAATATTAAATACTTTACATAAAAATTTACTTCACAAATCAATTTCTAAACATGACAATATAAATAAAAAAATAAACGTATGTTTACCGTTAGAACAAATAATTCCACTTAATATTAATCGAACATCAAATAAAATTGATAAATCAATATCAACAACAATAACAACTGATTCATTAATATCAAATACAAGTATTCAAACAACATATTCTGTTACATCAACATTACCAATTATAAATAAGAACATATTTCAATTACCTTATAGTCAATCAACAATTAATCTGGAAAATGAAATTTCACAAATGGATTCAGATTCTCTAAATTTAAATAAAATCAAACTTCTTAATTCTGCAAAAAATATCAATAGAAATCAACAAACAAGTGACGACGATGAAACAGAACAAATATTAAATAATATCCGATCACGGTCAAAAAAAGTAATACCATGCAAAAGAAAAAATAAACTCTTTTATTTACATTTTAATATACCATAAATATATCATTTAGTCTGCATCTCGTCGTGTTCCTATTAAATATATGTCACCATCATTTATGTTTGTTTTACAAATATTACTTGTTTTATGTCTGATTAATCGAATTATAATGTATTCGTTTTTTGGCATTGTATCAAATGATAATTTAGTTTCAGTTCTTATTGATAATTCACAATCTGTAACACCGATTTCATCATCTCCACTGGTTAGCAAAACTGAACAAACAACATCATCAACAAATCATGAAAAATTCAATAATTTCCTATTGTCACTTTTTAAATTAGTTTAATCACTATATATAATACAAATTCCTATTTTTTATTCATATAAATAAATCAAGATAATCTATAATGCGAAAGTCTTGTCAAAAAATATTTACTCATTTTTCAGCCAAATAAAGACAACTGATTAAAGCCAGATATGGACAGTCATACTCAGATTTTTTTTCTATCTTTCCAAATATATGTTCAAATTGTCCTTCTGAGGTAAAATTGGATAACTATTATCAGCTTGTTTGAAAAGGTGGGACATAGTTGTTGTAACTAGAGGAAAAAATAGAGCCTACAATGTTGAAGTCTTATGAAGTTTGCCGAAGGCCATGATATCTGATGTTTCTCTATTTGAACTTAGAGTTCAGTTCCTAAAATATCACATGCAACGGAAACTATTAAATCATTGGATAGATACGAAAATTTTAAATTTATTTTGCGAAATTTTCACCATTGAATTGTTGAGATTGACGATGCCGCATGTTTTAGTACTTAGAAAAAAAACAATATTATACATCTGTACTGAAATCTTAAATCTCAAGAATGAATATATAAAGATTTCTCGACATAGATTGAAGATATTCCGAAAAAAAAGTCCATTCCAGTTCCATCCTTGGGTTCAGTTGTTTTTAAGCTGTCGAAGTCTACACGAACTGTGCGATATACCATTTTGATCAATTTTATAGTTCGATTAGAGCCTATCAAATTCAAAATGTAAAACAGTTTTCAATGACTCAGTTGTGTTTGTTCTACAAAACTGTGCTATCGATTTTTCTGTTTTATTTTGTATAGTAGGTTTTAAAACTTTTCTATTTTTAAAAGTAATTTTTTGACCAATCCTAATTTCTATCGAAACTAAATCTTTAGTGAAAATACATAGATGAGATCTCGCTTATTGTATTATTTCATTAAAAATGGTATTCAATGACTTATTTCACAATACAAACTAAGAACTGCGTCATAACTGTTAGTTTACTTTTCCGAGACACAGTTTTGGATTTTTTCACAAAATCGACCTTCAGCTGCTCAATGTTGTCCGTGAACGAAAATCTGAATATATATTCGACAATAGCGAAGAACTCTGGTTCTGGCTCTAACTACTTGGATTTTAGTAGTCGACCAATGAGCGAATATTTTATGATAAGGCTTTCATGTTATAGGCTATGCTCGAGATTTGCGTTGATGATTAATCCAGACTGATGAAAAACGGAGTCAGGATTTAGAGATTATATAATATAATTTTATAAACTATGGCTGTAGATTACAAACACTAACCGCTATATGTATAGTTCATCTTAACATTGTTCTCATTTACATTACAAACAATGATGTTGTGTTTCACGGATGCTACTAAAAAGTTTCTTCACTAGATTAATATTGACGACTTAATTTTTTGTGAATAATAATCAAAAATAAATTCAAGCATACCATATATTATTCAAAAAATCATTGGAGCTGGATATTTGTTAGAAGTTCTTAAATCATAAGAAAAATGAAATAAAACTAAATAAAATTTGCAAAATCTGTCTATACCTTCGAAACTATTCGTCTATTTCATTTAATATAATCTACATCCATTATTAAGATATAATGTACAGTAAATGATAATTACATATCCAAATAAAACTAAAATATTGAATTATAAAAGAAATGACTTAGTTAGCAACCGTCATTGATATCAATGTAAGACACGTATAGATAGGTTACGATTAAATAACCATTTGAATTTTACAGCTAGATGTCGTTGAACAACAAACCAAGTCGAACTTTTTTTTTGTCTGCTAGACATAAGCATATTTCAACAGGTGTCCATTGAACTTGATTTTCTTTCTATAGACAACCGCTTGAGTTATGTGCATAATTTAAGCAACTCATGCGCTCACCTTATGAGCATCATAAAACTAAGAATACTGGAAACGATCAACTAGAACAAAAGACTGTTCCTTTCTATGAATAGCGTATGAATCGAATTTTGTATGTAAATTCACTTTTGGTCTGTCTGTTACAATCTTCGTTATTCAACCTCTGACTTTCTATTGAGAATCATATCATTTTGAATATGAAACTGAAAAGCAAGTATAACATTTGATTAATAGTGATTTTATGCATGATAGATACTTCTTCCATCATTTGAAGCTGTCATGACTGAGTAATTACGTTGTTCAACACATATTCATAAGGTACTGGGTGCAAATCTCAGTACAATCAACCATGGAATGACAGAGGAGAAGTCACTAACGACTATTTATCTCGAATCACTTGCTTAATAGTATGCTGACTACATTGTGACATATACCTGCTCTTTGTATCTAGCTAGTGTATATAGGAAGCTCAAGCCTTGTGCGTTAAGTCACCTATCTGTTCACAACTACCAGTAATCATCTTTATCAAGAAGATATCGACCTATGAAGTCTATGGCTAAGTGCCACTCCACATTGAAAAGTAGCTGAAAGGCAAGATTATTCTACTTTCCATCGTTGTGACAGATAACAAGATCCAATTAAGTATTATTATTGATGGTTTGCAATCAGTACAGACTTGTGCTATTAATCTATGCAATCTGTAATGTTTTCATGCAGTATTTCATTTAAGATCATTTGTCCACACACTCGAACTAGAATTCAAACGCGTGAAATTATAAAAAGGCTTCAAGATGTATTCGAAACATATGACCTTCCTGTCTAAGATACTCAAACTCTTCATGCATATGAATAAAGAAGTTTGACTAGGGCTTTTTCAATATACTAATTAGTTTTAACTTTGAAAAAGAAAAAACGATCTGGTTTAAATAAGCCCATATATACATATATATAGCATATATATATATATGTGTGTGTGTATATATATAACAAATAAAAAGAACACTTAACAATACCATTGCTTTTGATAGTCAAAAGAAAAATTGAAACTATTTCCAAATTGTAAGTTCTTTTTTTTCAACAGTAATATGAACTTGTTCGTGATTATCTACTCGACATACACGTTTAATCCATGCCAAATATGCATTATTATTATAAAATAATGGTAATCTTAATGAATCTTTTTTACATGATACTCGAAAACTAATTAAATTTGGTAATGAACATAAGAAATATTCTGCTATTAATTCAATAGATCGATTTATTGTTCGACTTGATTGAACATGAAGCCAAAAATGTTCTAGATTTGGAAAAAATTTTAATAATAATTTAATATCATCCAAACAAATAATTCCATCAGCAGGATTATTATATACACAAAGTTCTTTAAATCGTGGAAAAGAATCTATTTCTAAACGTTTACATAAATAAATAAGATCTCCATACATTATTGTTAAAGTACGAAGGCGAGGTGCAAGTATAGTATTATTCGCAAGAAATATAAAAAATGGAAGATTTACTTTACATTTTGTCGATCGAATATAACGTAAAATGGATAAATTAGGTAATCGTAATTGTTTATAATTTTTAAGAAATTCACAATCATTTTGATCACATATATTAATTGAAGTAATGTCAAGTACTTGAATATCAGGAAAACGTTTAATAACATTTAACCAATCATTAATTGATGTTAATTCATGACGTCCATCAAAACAAAGTGTATTCACTTTTCTTGTTCGTTGTTCAAATAATTTTATATCTGTTGCTTGAGCATTACTTGCACGTGGTGATGTCATTATACCTGTTATACAATCGAAATCATATGGTATTGTATCTATAAATAATACTCGAGTATCGGCATAGCAGCAAACATCTAAATCATTTTGTATAAATGTTTCTAAACATGTTGTGACATCGATCGGTACCAATTCTCCTCTAATCCAAATTTTAAGTCCCATATCTAATCGATATAATTTTGGTAGACTAGATAATAATTGCTTCCATCGATAACCTTCACTATATTGTATATCATCGGTTTCTATTTCTAATGAAAGACATTCAATGGTTGGCATATTTGCTAATATATTATATAAATCATCAAATATAAGTAAACGTTTATCTTTAATCCATAAATGAAAATCTTTTATGTATTTTGGCATCATATCAACAGTTGCATATTGTTTTGGTGAATCATCAGAAAATATATTTACTTCAATATGTAATTTGACAAGATTAGGTGTACGTCTTAATATTAATATAAAATCATCTAATGTAGCTACACTAATAATAAGTTTTTCAAGCCCTGGACACATCATTACAGCGACGTCATGTTGCAATATCATACCTTCTTCAGCACCGTATAATCTCAATTCTTTTATTGTATTCGGTGTACAAAATAAATATCGATCGAGTAAAATTCTTGTTGAATGAAGTAAAGGTATTTGCGCATCAATATCAATCATTACTTTTTCAATTGAAAGAATTTTCGGAAGTATGTCTACATCTTGATTACTAAAATTTATCAACCATAATTGTTTAAGAGAAGGTAAAAAGTCATGAAGAGAATTATATTTAGCTATTGATTTATTAAAAAGAGAAATTTCTCCTGGTGAATACCATGTATTTAATGTTAATTTAACAATATATTCGGCATTTAAAGGTAATAAATGAAAACAACATCGTTGAAATTGATGTAAAGTTAAATATTGAAGATTAATATCACATCGAAATTGTCTTATGGTTCGTTCTAAACGACTATTTAATTGTCCAAATGCATTAATAACATCTATTGCATTTAAATAAATACAAATTTCAATTAATATTTCATCAGGTAAATCTTCAAGTTTTGATAAAAACATTTTTGGTTTTCTCTTTTTTGAATACACAAACTATTGATTATTGATGCGTATGTTGTTTTTTTTTCCTAGGCAATGCACGATTATACATTTTTTTCCTTATTTGTATGACTAACACATAGATGACTGATTTACAGGTAAAAAAATGAAGAACGAGAAAAATACGAAAAATGCGTATCATCATGTTACATAAGATATTAAAAGACATCGTTCAGCCTAACATAAACGTGATGTCGAAAAAACAAACCCAAACACTATTTCTTTTTAGTTATTCTATCAATGAATCATAAATGCATGACACTC